ATGATATGACGAAAACAACTTAAAAAGATGATTATTTGGATTTTTTTTATGACATGTCCCATTACCAACTCACATACCAAATTAAATTAATATTTACATTTTTAATAAAAAATAAAAACGACAAATTTACCTTAATACCCCTATCTCTCTTTCTTGATCCATCTTCTTCCTTTCTTTCCCCTCCCCCTACCAGGCGAGTGAATAGAGATAAGGTTAAATGCTTATTTTGGTCCTCAACTTTATCAGTTTGCACATTTTTGGTCCTTAAAGTATTTTGTGTACATTTTTTATCCCTCAATTTTAAAAAATGCATAACATTTGTCTTTCTGTCACTTAAGGCCATTAACTTCTCCCATGTGGCATTTTTTATTATTTTTTTTGATGATATGGTGAAAACAACTTAAAAAGATGATGATTTGGACATTTTTTTTATGACATGTCCCATTGCCAACTCACACACCAAATTAAATTAGTATTTATATTTTTAATAAAAAATAAAAACAACAAATTTACCTTAAGACCCCTATCTCTCTTTCTTGATCCATCTTCTTCCTTTCTTTATTTCTCTTCTTCCTCTTCTTTCTTCCTTTTCCTCCTCTGTGTTGCTGGGTTCCCTCAAATCCAGTTGATCTAGGTTCAAGGGAACCCAACTTGGGTTTGATGGAACCCATCTATTGGGTTCCATCGAACCCAGATCTGCTGGGTTCGGTGGAACCTAAGTTGAGTTCCGTCAAACTCAAATTTGTTGGGTTCGAGAAACCCAATGCTGGGTTCCATCGAACCTAGAACCCAGATTTATTGGGTTTGAGGAATCCAGCAACTGGGTTCCACCGAACTGAGCTCCACTTTTTTTTTTTGGTTATATATTTGTTGCAAAGAGTTTATGCAAATTGCAGGTTGTGAGGGATTTTTGGAACCTTTTGCTTCATATTTCCTAACTATTGTTTAAATAATTTTAATGTTCAAAATGGAAAGAACATTGCTGTCAGCCCCGGTCTAGGTAGGGAGGTTATTTGTTACCAAATAAGTTGGGAGTTATGCCCCATTTTGGACAAAGTCTAAGGAGCTTAAAACTGTGTTTTGCCTTTCTCCCAGCTGATGGCTTGATTTATGCATGTCAGACCTTAGAATTTTGACTGCTACATTTCGTGAAGGTTCTGTCAACACCGGCAAGGATCTACGAATTCTAGAATTAGAGTTTTC